AGGCATACAAGAGGAATGTCCCTTGAAGTGGACATCCCTCCAGTGTTAGTCAGATGAAATGGGGAATGGAAAAGCAAATGACAGGAGAATGACGTCTTGAAAACGAGTGAAAAACGAAAACATGAATTAAGAAGTAGTATTTAAGAACATTCAAAGCAACATGAAGAAGATGAAAGAAATACAAGGAAAAAAAAATTAAAAAGAAGCAAAAAACCATTTGAGAGGAATCAGAATTGTTGGTCATAGGGAAGCTGTGCATGTCTCTAGTCCCACCTCCCACAGGAAGAAGGCCAGCACCAAGATCAGATCAGCCGTGGCTTTGTCTAGCCAAGACTTGGAACACTTCTAAGGACAACCATCTCTGAGGCTGCTTTCTGAACAGCCTGTTCCAATGCTGCACTACATTTTAAACCTCTCAGGCTGTGATTTGGATGTACAGAGGCAGAACAGAAACAATCTGAATGGATCAGTATTAGCAGAGTTCAGTACAGTTGTATACAGCTGTCTCTAGCATTTAAAGATAAAATCAGGTACCCTACTTGTGACTTGGCAAAGTTTGAAAAGCAACACATTCACATCAGTTATTGTCAAGTAAATTAAATTCTGTGGGAACAACCCTATATGGTCTTTGCTTTCATAGAGTGGTTTGGGTTGGAAGGGACCTTAAAGATCATCCAGTCCCAATGCCCCGCCATGGGCAGGGACACCTCCCACTAGACCAGGTTGCTCAAAGCCCTATCCAACCTGGCCTTGAGTGCTTCCACAGATGGGGCATCCACAGCTTCTCTGGGCAACCTGTGCCAGTGCCTCACCACCCTCAGAGTGAAGAATTCCTTCCTTATATCTAATCAAAACCAACCCTCTTCCAGTTTAAAGCCATTACCCCTTGTCCTATCACTGCAGGCCCTTGTAAAAAGGCCCTCTCCAGTTTTCCTGTAGGCCCTTTCAGGCACTGGAAGGCTGCTACAAGGTCTCTCTTCTCCAGGCTGAACAACCCCAACTTTCTCAGCCTGTCTTTCTAGGACAGGTGCTCCAGCCTCCTGATCATCTTGGTGGCGTCCTCTGGACTCGCTCCAACAGGTCCATGTCCTCCTTCTATTGGGGCCCCAGAGCTGGACACAGGGCTCCCGGTGGCGTCCCAGGAGAGCGGAGCAGAGGGGCAGAATCCCCTCCCTCGCCCTGCTGGCCATGCTGCTGGGGATGCAGCCCAGGATACCGTTTGCTTTCTGGGCTGCCAGCTCACGCTGCCGGCTCATGTTGAGCTTCTCATCAACCAACACCCCCAAGTCCTTCTCCTCAGGGCTGCTCTTAATCCATTCTCTGCCCAGCCTGTATTTGTACTGGGGATTGCCCCGACCCCTGTGCAGAACCTTGCACTTGGCCTTGTTGAACTTCATGAGGCCGCACAGGTCCAACCTCTCAAGCCTGTCCAGGTCCCTCGGGATGGCATCCCTTCCCTCCAGCCTGTCGACTGCACCACACAGCTTGGTGTCATCAGCAGACTTGCTGAGGGTGCACTCAGTCCCACTGCCCGTGTCGCTGACAAAGATATTGAAGAGCACCGGTCCCAGTACTGACCCCTGAGGGCTCCACTTGGGACATCGAGCTGTTGACCGCAACTCTTGCGACCATCCAGCCAATTCCTTATCCACCGAGTGGCCCATCCATCAAATCCATGTCTCTCCAATTTCGAGCGGGACAGCCTGAAATGCTTTGCACAAGTCAAGGCAGATGATGTCGGTTGCTCTTCCTGTATCCACCAACGCTATAACCCCATCGTAGGGGGGCACCAAATTTGTCAGGCATGATTTGCCGTTAGTGAAGCCATGCTGGTTGTCACCAATCACCTCTTTATTTTCCATGTGCCTTAGCATCGTTTCCAGGAGGATCTGCTCCATGATCTTGCCAGGCACAGAGGTGAAAAGAACTTGAAAAGGACAAAAATGTTACTTCTGCTAATGAGTGGTACGTGATCCTAACAGGAGGATGAAGACAACAGTCATCAGAGGCAATGCAAGGAGATGAGAAGAAAACAAATAGGATTACTTTCATTTAGAGAAAAACAAGCAAAATATATGACTGGCTATGTAAAATGAAGGACGTAGAAAATATAAGGCACTTAACATTTATCTTGTCTTGCAATACAAAAATAAGGGAACAACAACGGAAATTAAGGCAACAAATGTAAAAATGGTAACCTTTTTAAAATACAAAACATAATTAACCTGTGGGAATAGCAGTCTTGAGCTAAAACTCCAAGCTTAATAAGATACTTTAAAAATTACTAGATATCTAGTTATGCTACTGAGAATAACAATAATGTATAAAAATAGTAAAAACCCTTGTTTGACAGGCAAATCAACAATTAATCTGCCTATATTTAAAAAGTAAATGTCTTCATTTGGATAGATTGTTCAATTTGCCCATTATAGCCACTTCACATCTTTTTCTGAAGCATCTGGTCCTTAGTATTCTTAGATTTACAGTATCTAATTAGATTAAGTATTGATCCAAAAATTCCTTTGCTTCTATAAATGCCCCCAAGTATACAGAAACACGTCAGAGTCTCACCTTTACAGGTGGCAGTTAAGATATCAGGCCTAGAGCGACACTTTATTTTCCCCTCCCGTTAATCCATCCCCAAACACACACACAGACTAATCCCAGTCACTTTGTGTTCTGGGACAGCAGGCACCGATACCTAGAATTTATTGTGCATACTGTTTAATGTAAAGGGAAACAGAAAAATCTATTAAATTTGATTTCAGCAAGCATTTTCTCTTGAAATTTGATCAAACTCATCCCATATTCTTTCATGAATTTCTTTGTTCTACACTTGATTTAGTTAAGGTTGCTCAGGAATATTCCTTAGCCATTTAATAATACTCATTTTAGGAGCAATAAGCTCCAAGAAGTTAACCAGCTGTTTTCACATCAAGTCCATTTTGTGGATGGCTGACCAAAGTGTAACTTAAAAATCGAGGCAAGCGTAAGTCTTGTTTGGAAAAGATGTTTTCAGATGGGTCATCAGAAAGTTTTGTAGGTTCCCCCCTTCTGCCCCCCTCCCCAAGTCTAAGCCAATGGACGGTAATTTTTGTAGGAGCAATAAACCACCACTTCTCGTCTCCTCAGAACATAGGAGCAGGCTGCTTCTTGGCAGCCCTGCACATTTGAGGGGAAGGGCGCTTAATGCCCGTGAACTTAATAGGAAGCGCTCGAACTGTCATTTAAGAGACCTGTAGGCTGGCCATCTGCAGCCTGGAATGAAAATGTTGCACTCTCTGGTAACGATGATACTAATAAGGCTATACAGTTTTTACACAAATAAAAACAAAATAGTGACATTTTAGCTGTCCCTGGGAAAGATTATATAGTATATATATGGGATTGTTCTGTAATTAATCCCAGGTTTCAGCCAAACATGCTTACAAAGTTGTAAAAAATAAAAAAAAAAATTTAAAAAAAAAAAAGGTTTTCTAAGCCTATACCCATTGAGTTCAATGATCACAGGATGAAGACTGTATTAATACTCAGGTCTGTCCAAGAAAACGCAGAGTAAAAGCACCCCGGGAGCACACTTCTGCTCCTCTCCTGTTTACAGTGCTGGTTAAGATAAAGTCACTAAGTAACAACACAAAGTGGCTTATTTTCTTATAGAAGTAAACTTTCTTCACCATTAGTCATATCTCTTGTAGTCTAATTGTAGGTAAAATTACACAAATACGATGTCAGAACTTCCCGTACATCTTGTTCTCATTGGCATATAGTACAGACTGGAAAAGGTTAAAGTATGTTCTCTTGGTGACCGAATGACTTTGGGAATATATAAATTGATAATGATTCCACCTTAAAACTCATCAGTTTCAACTGAGTACAGGTCAATACAAACAAGAGTAGTCAATGGTTTCAGATGGAAAAATCTCATCAGTTCCATTTCTAATGATATAGTATATATACTGTACAAATTGTTCTGCCACTGCTACTGGCAAATAAACCGGGGGACAGAGAGAAAACGACAGCTAAAGTAACCTTGTAAGGATTGTTTCCTTCACGTTGGCACGGAGAAGCTGACACTGCCGTTGGCAATGCTGCGGATGCAGGGCTGCCAGTCACGTCAGTCTGGCACTTTTTAGGTTTTAAAAAAAAACAAAAACAAAAACAAAAACAAAAAAAAAAAAAAAAAAAAAAAGAAGAGTATTTTACTAGTGCTTATTAAAACATAGCCCAGTCTGAGTTCCCAGTTTTCAGAATGAATAAAACATCTACTGGCATGATCCATATTTGTAATCATTTTCTCTCTGATGTGTTGACTAGGACTAGCATTCGTGTGTTTATTTTCTTGTAAAGAAATAGATCTTGAATTAATGATCTGCTAAAGATTCTCCTTATTCTAATAAAATTTACAAGAAAGTGCTTTTCCAGACAAATGTGCTAAAACATTTTTATATGCTTTTTCTTAATTAGCTACCTTTTTTCCTTATCATAATACGAAGACTTCATGAAATTTCATGGAAGATTATCTTCATTTCTGAATACTGAAGAGAGGTTTCCTTTATATTCTGGTGTGTGGGGTACTTATACTTTGTTCATCGCCAGATAATATTACATATAAAACCCACATCTCTACGAGTTTAAAAAGCAGGCAATTTGCAGTGCTGTGTAACTTTTTTTCTTTTAAAAAAAAGTATTTAGACCTCACTCCTTGAAAGAGGTTTTCAGAAGTGACCCACTGTCTACTATAAAAAGTTTTCCATGTAGTACTTCGGTTTCCTTGTTCATCCGTTATTTCATTTAAGGATGGATTCTTTCTAATGAAGCCAAGTATGGGTATTCTGATAACAAAACTCAGAATGGACTCAGTGTCACATCCATGAACACATGCAAGTCTGGACCTGTTCAAAAGAAACCAGTATGTCTCTGTACGGTAACAACAGGCTGATGGAGGGCTGAAGGTCAAGACAGTACATTCTCCCTCTCGCATGGAATTCCTAATTCTTGTCTTGCAACTACCTAATATTTGGTTTTACTTCCTTTTCGTCTGCTTCATCCTCGCTGTCATCAACTTGCTGAATGACCAAGTCGGTTGACCCATCCTCCACAATCTCCACGTCAGATCTGTTGTCTTCCCCATAGTGCCACCTGGAATCCTTATCCCCATCTTGTGGAAATTCAAGGGGTGCTTCAGCCTCCAAGTCAATGCGAATACTGTCTATGCCAGCTTCAGCCAAACACTCATTACAGAGTCTGTAACGTCTTGTCCCCTCTTGGACCACTTGTCCCGTTAGCTCAGTCACGTGGCGCTTACACTTTCTGCAGATAGGCTTACAAGCCTGATGAATCTGGGAAAATCAAAATGAATAGATTGGAAAGAAGTGGTTTTTAAGCTGACAAAAAGTAGGGCTGGAGTAGCATCATGGTAGCGTTAACTCATTTTGAGAGACAGTCATCAAACGTTAAAAATGAAACCATCACAGGCGCTGTAATTGCCCACTTAAGCTCTGTTCCAGGACTTGCACAGAGCAGAACCTTTGCAAGCCATCAATTAACACAGAAATTCATCCCCTTTCCCACAAATTATGCTTCAAATCAACTTCAACAAAACCAGATTAATTTTCTATTACCTTTTCTTTTACGGGAGTCAATATATCAACCAGATACGCTTGTGCTGTGTTTAATTATGCTGAGACAGATTTACATGTTAAATAAACCATGCAGTTACTAAAAATACATACTGTTCGAAAATGGCTACTTAGGTGATCTAGCCTGCTAAATCTTTTCCCACATGCCTCACAAGGGTAAGGGCGCTCTCCCGTGTGACAGCGAAGGTGACGCTTCAGATCTGCTTTTCTTTTCACCACGTGCGTGCAGAACGGGCACTTGAACCTCATCCTGGGCAGATCATCTGGTAGAAAATAACGCGATTAAAAAAAAAAAAAATATGAGTCATAACATGTCTAGTCATTTAATGCTCTAGGAAAATGCATTCCGTGCGCAGAAAAGCAAATCACTTTTATTAAAAAAAAAATAATAATATTATCATCAGTCTTTTCAAGCACAAGGATCTTGTGTTTTCCCGTAAATTATACAGGAGTGCAACAGAGAAAAAGGAGTAGACCGTTAGCTGTATTAAAATGGGCTTAAAAATATCCCAAAAGATCATGACTTAAATTTGCCAGATGAAGCTGTAGCGACACTAGAGATTATGTATGGTGAAAGGCTGCTTTTAATAATCCAGGTACTTCAATCATTCACAGTTATTAAAAAAAATAAAAGAGTTAAACTTCCCAAACTTACATTTCAGGACAATGCAGATGTATTTTTGGCAACTGTACACCCGTTCAGTAAAGCACACTTGCTCAGGGGCAGGACAGACGATTCACAGGTGACTGTGCACCTACATCACTAAAACCAGCTCTTACCTTCAGCCCAGCTTCCCATGACGCCTAGAATGGAGGGCATGCTCGCGTACTGCTCGTCTGCTTTTGAAGACTTCGATTTACTGGAAGAACGGGGCGATTCGTGCTCCTGCTGCGGCACAGCCAAGCTCCTCGGTATCACCTCAGACCCTTGGCCGTACTGGTATCCCACGTGAGGGGATTCAACTTCTGTTTCAATCTGAACTTGCTCCTCAGACGGAGCGATATGGCCAGTGGGCTCGGCGGCCCTGTCCTCCAGTTTGCTTGATTTATAGTGAGGAATGTCAGAGGGTTGCTGCAGTCCCAGGTGCCGGGATTTCTTTATGGAATCCTGCCTTTGCTCGTGTTTGGACAGCTGTTGCTGGGCATTTCTCTGAGAAGTCGGATAGTAACTGAAATTGCTCCAAGCGTTTCCACCCATCATACAGGACCCTTGGTCTGGGCTTAAGTGCGAATGCGGGGGGCTGCTTTCTCCCCTCCAGCCTGCGCTGTACAAGCAGGACCGGTCCACGCCGTTTGAATTTACATCTTTGTCTGACAGACTGAAGTAGCGATCCTTCTCCTTCTCGCTGATGTCCAGCGACGACTTAATGAACGTTTTACACACGCTGATAACATCGGTCATCTGCAGATAGCTAGCGGCCGACATGACTTCGATGACATTCTGACCAGTGAGAGACAGTTTGCCTGAATACACAAAATCTAGAATAACTGTAAACGTGTCAGGAGAAAATGCCTGGAAAGTCGCTGTTGTCGGCTGACTCGTCTCCTTCGAGCTCTGCGAAAGGAGCATTTTGAAATAGCCGCTGCTGGCAAACAGCACATTGCGATGGGCTTTGAAGACCTTGCCCTCCACCAGGATATTGCAGTCACAGAACAAGTCCTGCCTGCGCTGCTCATTCAGTTGCTGCAAGAGGTGAAACTGGTGAGAAGAAATCTCCATTCCAGAAAGAGATGAAACAAAGCGTTGCTCTGAAAAATAAAGAAAATAATTAGGCTCTTGACTTCAGCGTCGTGCAACTCAAGAGAAAGATGTCAGGCCCAATTTTACAGACATCTTTACCAATAACCTGACTTAAATCTGTAAATATATTTAAATTACAATATGCACAACCACGCATTCTTTTGCCAAGAAGAAAAGAGTGATGAAAAAGCCAAATAAACCCGTCCAGGCGATTTGGCGGCGAGGCGCGACGCTGGGAGCATCTCCCTCCCGAGGCTGCGGGACAGGGGGTGCGCGCCCGCCGGCTCCCG